TAGGCCTAACATTTCTGAAGCCCTTACATGGGACTTAGCACTGGTATCGCTTACAAACTCACTTAGTGTGTCATTAAGTGCCTTTTCAAAGGAGGCCACTGAGCTTGCTAGTCGCATTTCCTTAGGTAGTTTGTTCCATACTCGGGCATATCCAATCAAGAAAAGCTTTCACCTGGTGGCCGTTTTATATTTGTCGGTAGCCAGTGTACCTCTAGTGTGTCTGAGGTTATATCCAATGTCTTCTGAAAACCGAGTACCATTAGTAGGAGTATACACTTTGTGATCAAGATGCTTATATAAGAGTACCAAATTTAGTCGCATTCGTCTCAACCACAGTGTTTGGAGTCCTAGGATTTCACATCTGGTAAAGTGGTTTGTGCCGTTTTCGGTTCCGAGTACTTTCAGCTTGAAGTACCTCTGCACTCCTTCAGTTTGTTTTCTATGTGTATACTACTAAATATGAATGAGCAGTAATCTAGGAGTGAGCGCACACCAAGGGTCAATGTAGTTGAAGATTGAACAATCAATTCATGGTTGTTTGCTCAAAACCAACTTCCCCAATTTTCGCGGAGTCATCAATACGACAGTCATCGTCTCATCGGTCGCTGTTCAGAAAGAAGTCAGCAGTAAACCGTCAGAAGTAATATTGTGATTGATTATTGTAATATTTGTTCACAGACCTTAGTGATAACATTTTTTATATGTTGGTGTTACAATAAAGAATTCTCGAGTGGCCAATCGGTGTTTTGGTTTTTGCGTCCGTTATTACTAAGCGTTTCTGAGAAACTTCAAGGAACAGTGTGAGTCCGAGCGTAGCAAGAGCTGGGCACTAACGATTTACGTGACGTGGATGACACCAACATTTTACAGTAACATTCTAGATTAGCTTCTGTAGAAGTTCCTGAGTAGGAAACCAATAAGTCTGCGTGACTTCGATACACGTCTCGAGATACGCCCAGAAAATTATAGATTATGTGAATATTTCAGTCCTAGGTCTAGTGCAGATTTGATGCTGGGGATTTTGTGGTCTTGAATTGCTAGATCGAGTTCTAGGTTGGAACGGACTATGCGTAGCCAGCCACATTATTCGATATTAAATTTGAGTCTCCAGGTTTCACACTGTCAATCAATTTTTATCAATTCTTCAAGTATAGAGTTCACAGGTGTACTGATATCTGTATTTGTGCATATATAGGTCACCTTTAAGTCATCAGCACACAGTATTGGTTCGCCCGTGCTAAGTCATTCACATATACTGTTTATGTATATTATGAAAACGGGGGGCCCAATACACTCCCTGCATGACGCCACTGCTGATTGTTCTAGGCCTGGAGGTCATCAAGCCAACCTTTGTTGTCCGATTTCTATCACAGAGAAATGATTTTATCTCGCTCTGAAGTGAGCTGCGTATCCCTAGTGAGCATAGCCTGCCGACTAGCAGATTATGTAGAACTCTGCCGAAGGCTTTCCTCATATTGAAACAGAGGATAATTACTATTTCTCTCCTATCTCTTCTGTAGGTGACCTCGTTGAAAAAGTCTATATGGCAAGTGACGCATGAGAAGTCCGTGTTGTGACTGGTTGACCAGCTTTCGTTTTGGAAAAAGTTTGATATTTGGTCTTTAAAAACTTTCTCCATGGTCCGTGATTTGCCAGGTGTTAAAGTGATAGGCGTATAATGGCATCAACCAGTTTTAGCTTCAGATTTATGCTTAGCTAAAATATACGCGTTTCCCAATTTCAGGGTAGGTCCCAGTCACCTGTAAGAGGGTAAGTGTTTTAAGTAATAATACTGTCAATGTCCACGTCTAGCTACGCTGGACTTCACACCATCCTTGGAAGACTTTCAGGAAATATGCTCAATAACCAACGCAAATAACCAGAACACAAATCAGTGACTCAAGAGCCGTTTAGTCTTGCGCCAATACAGAGCCAACCATCAGGTTATTTTACGCAAAGTTTTTGATAGTTTTCCTCTTTCTTCGAATGAGCAGCGAACGATGCAACGATGACTGCAGAATCGTTGACTCGCGCCAAAATATGCATTTGGTTTGAGCAAACAATCATGAATTGATCGTTCAATCTTCAACAACATTAAGAAATACTGTTATATCTATACCACTGTTTTTGCTTGTGATAGATGGTATATCATCTATCCCAAAACTACCCTTAGCTTTTAACGTCTTTACCGCTGATGTTATGTAATAATAATATATTCTCATTTTTTACATGAGGGACGCCAGTTTACAGGCATCATCAATTCGATAAGTTACACATAATATTAATAAGCATATTTAGTAAGGATAATGTAATAAGGTACAATTTTTTTTCCTAGCTATGTAGGGTACACCAATTGTATAGGCATGCATAAATATTGTTTTAACAATAATAGTATATTCCTTCCTGTTTATGCAGGAACATACCAATTGTACAGGCATGGATAAGTTGTTATATAAATTACACTATTTGATGTATAATGGATTTACAGTTTGGTTGTTCATTCTGACACTAGAGTCGGTCGGAAAAGTCTGCTATAAAGTCTGTTTGTGTAGCACATAAAGAGATATAGAAATATTGTCTTCGCATTTACAAAAAACCCAGACATCACATGAATGTAATACAAATATCTGGGAAAAATAAAGCTTGAAGTCAATTCTCCTATATAACTTTGTTGTGAACAACATCCTTGGCTTAAAGATTATTGATGTATTATGTTGAGATCAGTGATATATTTATCCCATTTTTCAGCAGTCTTATCGTAGTTTCATAACAGGAAAGAAATTTGATCGTGGAGGCGAAAACTAGATAAGGTCATGTTGGGTTGTTTTACTGCATCAAATGGTGCCGAGGTCGATTCCAGAATTCTCCATTTGAGCCATTTGTGTCTGCATGGCGGACACAAATCTTGTATATTAAAGTTGATTTCACCTAATTTGTAGTTATTTTCGCAGGTTATGTCTAGAATTGGGAACGGATGTGCTTTGGTATCATTGAAGAACCACTGGCTGAGAAGTTGACTGATAACCTGGGGATCATCATATATTATGCCTTCATTTTGCAAGGGGCTATCATTGTTGTCTTTACCTTGGTTGTCTATTTTATGTTCGGAGGGATTCTCAGATGAGACAGTGTCAGCTTGTTTACTACTCTCTGAACAAACTGCGCTGCGAGAGAGGCTATTGTTTGGTGCAGCCGAAAATAATCTTGTTGCATATAATGGTTTCTGGCACCATTAGATGGGCATCTGGATAGTCCGTTTCACCGTTTAGATTGTAATTTACGGGGCCGAAGTGCACTGATTTTAGGTTGTTTTGAGGGTAGTGCGTGCTACGTCTTTCAAAGTTACGCATTTGTTGACTCATTGCTTGCGTGTGCGTAGAAGAAGAGTGAGCACATCCATACCTGTTATCCCTATGGAGCTTTACTTAACTACTACGAGTGTTTGAGAATACATTTTCGTCCACATGGTACCTAGTGATGTCCCGTCTAGTCGCCAATGTGATTTTATTATTCATTATGGGTCCTGTTCTCAGGTCGTATGTGGCTATAGGCATAATAAAACCTCAGCTATTACAGAAATGCTGATATTGCAAACGGATCCCAGGATTCAACTTAGCTTACCACTAACTTACTGTATGCCTAGGAGGCGTACTCCATTAAAGGCCGTATTGTTGTAGCTTGAGGGTACTTCTTATTTAGGCGGCAAAAGAGACAGGAGGGAAATGATACGTGGATATCCAGAAAATAACTGAAAATCTAACATCAAACAGCATGTTCCGCTGAAAAATTGGTCAAAGTATGGGACTAGCTAATTCAGTACAGCCCCTAGATGCTAATATGTACATACATGGTGCAGTGAACTACTAGTCATATTTCGCCCTAACTCATGCTTAATGAGCTAAGATGTAATGGTTTTTCAGTTGCAGGAATTCCCCGGAATTATTGGCCACAGCACTCATTACTGAACGTCTGATGCTGACCCCACTGTTTTAGTTCATTCGCTTAGCTGAGGGCTTCTGGTCAAGCGTCCACGCCATTTACCAAGCTGTCGTGTTACGTTCGTTCTTTCGTGCACGATACCTAGCTGGCCAAATGATCATCTCGCACTCCGATTTGCTTCCAAAATATAACTCGTAATTTGGGCGATCAATTCGGGTGTTTTCATTTACCTTTCGTCTACGCGGAGCGAATACAATACAAGTTGTGGGTACTACATCTTGCGTTAGTATACTTTGTACTATTTGTGAAAGTCTATATCTTTAGCCCCTAAGGTCTGCAAAACGATATGATGTAAGAGCTTGTACCATATATAATCAATTTTCTTAGGATCAGTGGTGGCATAATAACACTTTATAATATAATGAAAAATTCAATGCACAGGAACAGTATAATGGTATATCCCCGAGAAACTTCCTAAGGTCTGTCCAACCGATGGTGGTAACAAAACGTTATCTTGGAGTTCTTCACGTATGGAGCTCCTCGCGGGTTGCTGTATCCATGTTTCTATAAAAATAAAGGAAAAGTCAGATGAATCCACAAAATCAGTGAGTCTGTACTCACTCAGGGTGAATACAGACACTATCAACATCCCGCTTTTTCAACTTCTTCGTTTACTACCTTTATATTTCACCCTCACATCAGTCAGTTTCATCTTCTCTTTCTGCCTTAAATATATATCAATAAAATCCATTTGCAAGACGTTTCTCTCGATTTCTCTCATACCTTCCTCGTCTGAAAGCATTTCCAGTGAAACTACGGTTGCACTTCCTAGTAGCGTCAAGACTGTGGTATACATCACACATTCACACTGATGTATATTGACATCTGTCACTGCTTACCGCAGAGTTACATCAGCCAAATACAGCATAAAAATCAAGGAAATACGAGAAGCAACTATGTATGTCGAGAAGCGAGAATCATTAAATAAATATCTGTACCAACTCACCATGAAACATTGATATTCGATTCACTAGCAGTCTAGGTCAGCACTATTTTGAAAAATGTCTGTCGTTGCAGGTTGTCGCTTGCGTTGGCCCTCCACTGCTGAAGAGATTGTGTCAAGGACTTCAGCATTAATCAAGTATGCCCGTTCTATGTATGATAAGGTGGCAGCATCTGAATCTACTTCTTTTGAGTCAGTTGTTTTGGTACCTTCAATTTATAATACTGATGAAATGTTACATTTTTAGCCCATGTCATTATTTGAAGCTGTCTATTCCACGGAACGAAATGCGTTAGACTTCCCACAGCACACACACCCTTCTTTGCAAATGAGAGATGCCAGCTGTGATGCTACTCGCAAACTCTCCGATGTAGAAGTGGAATTAGAGTGAGTGCATTAGTATATTTGAATTCACGTTTCCTGACTAGAGTGACTAGAGTTTTTGACTTGTTAAAGGAATGCATAGTAATATATATGTTTCGCTTGCTTGTATGCAGCTTCCATTTTCTCCGGGTGCACTGCAAAATGTTAAGGGCAGACGTAGGGTGCATTGCAGAATGTTTCGGGTATACCCTACGTAGGCTTCGGGCGCTTTGGAGAATCTCCTAGGCAGCAAAATCTTGGGGCGCACTTCCAAGTTTGGGATTGGGCCCCTAACATTTTGCAGTGCGCACGGAGTCTGCACCAAACATCCGGCAGTGCATCCTAACTTTCTGAGACTGACTGAATTCCTGGATTACATGCCTATGGTTATGTATTGGACCCTTAGTCAACAGCCAACCTAAAGTCGCACCTATTATGTATACAGCTCGTCCCAAAAATTAGTATACTGACACCACCTTAAGGACTTACGATATCAGAACGCAGTAAACTTTAATGAAACATAATATTCTTGGCAAATGAATTTACAATGCTTTGACGTATCATAAAAGTCAAACACCATATAAGTCACCATAGACATTCATCTTTGTACTTTCTGCATCTGGTCTGTTCTCCTTGTTTTGGTCGGCGATGAACTGAAAATTAAATGTAGAAGAAATACAGACAGACTTCAGTCTGTCGCGACTGTTATGGAACCAACGTTGAATAGAAGTCACGACGGCTTCCGCTGTGCACTGCCTTGTTGGTGGAAACTGGTAATGGTTCCTAAAAATACAATGAAAACAAAATTCACTTACAAATCACATGGTTACACGTTTTGGTGTCTCTGAATTGCTCCTCCTTGGTAGCAGCCCATGAAAAATGTGTGCTGTATGTTGGCTCCAGCAACACACTCATGATACGACCAACGGAGCCTTGGACACTGGAGTCAACTAAAGTGCCAAGGTTGGCGGACACCCTACGGCGGTATTCCTCGTCGAACAGTTTAGTCCCGAAGGGTGACATGACCGTGTCTTGACTTGAACTGAATACATAAAGGAGACATCCTGATCAATGCCACCAACCCCTTTGAGTCACGTGAGCTTAGCCTCAATCGCAGTGACACATGACTCCATTTGTGACAGGAAAGAGTATTGACTTGACCGTATAGCCCTTAGCTCTTCCAAACAACCAGATGTGCAAGCACCTGACTCCTCAGTCGTCGAGCACCTGCAAGTAATCTCTGTGTATCTGTCTAGATTCAACATATAACTTGGCACCGAAGTGCAGCAGTTCGAGTTGCCACGTTCCAAATAGCACACAAAGGTAGACAAGAAGATGAGTGAAGAGAATCAATAGAGTTTGACAAGTATAAGAGTGAAACAGAATGGGTAATGGTAGAAAGGAATATGAAAGATTACAGAGACTGAATACATCTGCGCCATTGACAACGATTTTGAGCCATGTCACCTATTGTCTCCAGCCATTGATTCCTAGAGTCCCGAGGGCCCCAACCCGGAAGTCTGCATCTCCCTACCTGACTCAGTTTAACTGTCAAGGATTTCATGGATTGATGAGGCCATGTTTTTGTTTGGCCACCACTGGCTCTTTTCCAACCTGCACCTATATCAGCTAGTAATGCCCGTCGGGGGAGGCGGTGGTTAGGCATGCGCAGCACGTGACCTAGCCATCTCAATCTATGTAACTTTATAGCCTCGTCGATTGATTTTCCCTCTTTGCCCAACACTACGCCTAACGTCAACATTAATTACTTTATTAAACCACCTAACGTGAGACAGAGATCGCAGACATCTATGATCGAAAGCAGTCAACCTTTTCATGTCTTCAACGCGTATTGGCCATGTTTCAGAGCCATAGAGAAGGACGGAGCGAACTGATGAGCAGTACACACGTCCCTTGGTTGATAACCGGATGTCACGCCTACGCCAGAGATGGTGTAAGTCAGCGAAAGCAGCTCGAGCTTTTCGGATCCGTGCTGAGATTTCATCGCCAATCAGTCCGTTGGTGCTAATACAACTTCCCAAATAGGTGAAGTGGTCAACATGTTCTATCACTTCACTCCCTATCACTAAGTTAGGAGTTGACGTAGTCCAGTCCTGTAGCAGCATCTTACATTTTGCAGGGGCGAATCGCATGCCAAACATACGAAGATTGCTGCTCAAGGTGTTCAGAAGACTCTGCATTTTGTCAGCATCCTCCCCTAACAGGACTATGTCATCTGCATATTCTAAGTCCATAAGACTATTCCCTGGTAACAAGTCGATTCCTAAGTCATTACGTTCAGTTAAGGATACTTCCATCAGCATATCTATGATGAAGTTAAACAGAAATGGGGAAAGTGGACATCCCTGTCGGACACCACTGGTTGTTACCAATTCAGATGACAATTCCCCATAAGCCCTTACACGACTACGTGAGTTTGAATAGAGTGCCTTGATTAGTGCAATGTACTTTCTTGGCACTCCCTTCACAGTCAGACATTGCCATAGTACCTTTCGATCCACGGAGTCGAAGGCCGCCTTCAAGTCAAGAAATATGACAATTGTTGGACGCCGAAAAGTGTGTCTATGTTCTAGAATCTGTCGAAGAGTGAAGATATGATCTATGCACCCTCTACCTGGTCTAAAGCCTGCTTGATTTTCCCTTGTCTGTTCCTCCCGAGTTCTGCTTAGTCTATGCATGATTACTGAGCCTAGGATTTTAGAGACTATGTTCGTTAGGCTGATCCCCCTATGATTATCACACGAGGACTTGTTTCCCTTCTTGAATATCGGTATAATAAGTGACTTACCCCAGTCTGATGGAACTGTCTCTGATTCCCAGACTTTGCCTAGTACCTCAGTTAATCTACAAACTAGTATGTCACCCCCATATTTAAACACCTCCGGAATAATTCCGTCGGGTCCTGCCGCTTTGCCTCGTTTCAAATTACTGATAGCTTTTGTGACCTCACTTACAGACGGCGGACCAGTGTCTATATCCCATTCGGGTGTGTGTAGATGTCGGGGAGGTTCAGTGTGGCTGTAGGCAAGTTAAATTGTCCCTCAAAGTGTTCTTTCCAGCGTTCAAGGCGTCTATCCTGAGAGCTAATTAAGGAGCCATTTTTCTCAGAAATAGTCTCACTTATGATTTGCCTTCTCCCACCCGTTTCCCTGATGAGTCTAAAGAGTTGCCTAGTGTTGCCTATCGCCGATGCTTTTTCCATCTCTTTCGCCTTTGTCAGCCACCACTGTTCACGGTCCTTGCGGAGACTTTTAGTAAGTTTCCTTTTGTGCAGCTTTCGCTCCTCATTGAATTCGGAGCTCGCCGGAATAAGTCTTCTAGCATCTATCAGTTCGGATGAGGCAGTCGAAATCCAGTGGTTTTTACTCACCTTTGGGTTTACCTTATTCACAGCTGTATCTATGGCTGACTGAATATTCTTCCAGGCTTCTCCAGGGTGAGCACAGCTGTCGAACTCAGATATGCGTTTAGCTAGTTCTTCCTCAAATAGGGATTTAGTTTCCTGATCGAGCTGGGGACGTGATGGTTTTACCGCCAGCTGTTTCCTACGTCCGTTCAGTCGTAAGCACACACGAGCCCGGACCAGTGCGTGATCGGTATCTACACACGTGTTCCAGAAGGAGCGACAATCTCCTACCGACCCACGCCAACGATAGCTTATTGCTATGTGGTCTATTTGTGTCCAGCGTTGGTTTGATGATGGGGGTCGCCAGGTTAAACAGTGTCTCTCCTTGTGTTTAAAGTTAGTGCTTACAAGAAACAAATGATTATCTGAACAGAACTGTAGGAGACGGTCACCGTTGTCGGTTCGCTGGCACGGAACTCCATAGGTGCCACCGACATCCTTCTCAGATTGACACAATTTCCCTACTTGAGCATTAAAGTCACCAGCTAGAACGACTATATCTGAGCGTTTAGCCTTTCGCACCAAACTAGACAGCTTTTGGTAGAACTCATCCTTCGTTTCATCCGAACTGCAGTCAGTGGGGGCGTAGGCGGAGATTACGAAAAGGCATCAGCGAGTAGTGCAGTCTGTCTCTGTCTGTCTGGATTCAACATAGAACTTGGCACCGAAGTGCAGCAGTTCGAGTTGCCACGTTCCAAATAGCACACAGAGGTAGACAAGAAGATGTGCAGTCCTTTCTCCTTCTTACTGATCCGTTCAGACGGACAGCACACATTCGGCTATCTACCGGAATCCAGTCAAGTAAGGTCTTTTCTGCCCTAGTACTCAAAGCTATCCCTACGCCAGCTAATCCTCGTGAACTGGCTGTGGCATCTCCTGACACCCTCAAGGTGAATTCTGCAGATTCATCCTGTTGGTCAGGTGGGGTTAGGTGAATAACCACACTTGGGTCTTGTATGCGCGTTTCTGAAACACAGGATACATCAATGGCTCGGGACGCCAGAGTCTTAGCTAGTGATGCTTGTTGTCCTATTTGGCGAAGTGTCCTAACATTAAATGCTCCTATATGAAATTGGTGGCGTGGCTTTAGGAGACTGTCGATGGTTTTTTGGCTTCCGTCGTTTTTAGTGGACACAGAGTGAAGAGGGAGTGAGGAGCCATCAAGTAGAGGAGTTGCATCAGTGGGAGGAAGGCAAGGTAATAGAGATAAAGACAAAGATAAGTGAGGGTTAGAGAGGTTTTGTGTGCATTTCGGATTGTGAGGGTGTTTGTTACTTCCCGGCTGCCCACACGGTGGAAGTTGGTTGCGTGACCGCAGAGCCCAGGGGACAACTGCTTGAGGTCGGTCACACGCGGCCTGTTTTTGTTTGTTCTTTTTTGTTTGGTGTGTCCCAGTAGCATACTTATCACTCCTGCCCTGTGACACGGCAGCAGGAAGCGCGGTCGTTGTTAATCCGGGCCACGGCCAATCCGGCATGATATTTTGTGAATTTGTTTGAATCATGGTATTGGATGGGGTAGCTGCTTTTTGTTTAACCGCTATCCAAACAACCTGCCTGGCATGGTAGAACCTCAAGAGACATAAGTCTCAGCCAGT